ATAGTGATTAATGTGACCAGTCCACTGGACAATGACTACAATGCTTTTGTTTAATTTTGCTATTAATTGGAATGACAAAAAAATAAAAATGAAAATCTCTCGTTTTTTAAGAAATTTCTTCTTTCGTCATTTCAACTATATAGTAGCAAAATTTTTTTAAAAAGTGTATTATCATCGTGTAATAGGCTAGTCCTTCTGTGATTTAAGATATAACAAAATGATAAAATAGAAATTCTTGTCACACACAGGTTCTCTTTTCAAATAAATACTCACAAAGGTTCCGTACAATAAGAGCATTTTAAGCGTTCGTTGGAAAGATGTTTTTTGTAAGGTCCGCCTCGGCAATTCGGTGAAAAGATAAACGACAGAAGATACGCTGGCATTTCGAACAAATAGCGATGATTCTGACAAATTCTCGTTACGTAACCGTCGACCCGAAGGACAATGCCAGAGAGTGGTACCGACCCGTGGTGCCAATGTCAAGAATTCCAATGAGGAAGATTCGAGGCTTGAATTCGAAATGGTCGGCCGGAGTTATGCCACCGTGTCCCAACCTCGGCAAACCGTTTGAAGAATGACGAACCCGCGGACGATTGATTACCGTGTGCCCGTTGATACCGGGCAACTATTGCTGCACGTCCGACGATGACTCAAGGTCGTTCGGCGCAGTGAATTACCCCGTACGCCGGCGAGACTCGCGAAGCCACGCTAATTGTACCTTAATTCAGTCGTCTCTGAGAATTCTTTCTTTTTTCGTCCAGGAGGCACCGATTCACGCGAGAAAATTAGTTCGTAAGTCGACGAGTCGACGCGTTAGTTCATAATACTCTTTTCAACATTGAAAAATTGAACAGCAACGTGAATCGTTCAAAAATCGAAATTTTTTCTTTCGCATTTTCTTGGAAGATATATATAGGGTGATTAAAAAATGTCTCGCAATCCGAAAGTGGCGGGTTCCTCAGGTCATTTGAAGCAACTTTTTCTTTTACAAAAATTTTCCCCGAGGCACCGTTAACGAGTTATTAACGAAAAACAGTGGCCAATAAGAATCGAGTACGATTGCTGACGCAAGGCGGCCCAGCCAAACAGCGCACGAAGCCCAGTTCCGCTCATTGGCTCGGTCGCCTCGCAGCCGGACTCGGCGCGAGGCGGTCACGGAGCAGCTTGGCGCTCGCGCAAGGCGGTCACGGCGCAGCTTGGCGCGGCACGAGGCGGTCACAGAGCAGCTTGGCGCTCGCGCAAGGAGGTCACGGCGCAGCTTGGCGCTTGCGCAAGGCGGTCACAGAGCAGCTTGGCGCTTGCGCAAGGCGGTCACGGCGCAGCGCGACTTAGCGCGAGGCGATCACGGCGCAACTTGGCGCGGCGCGAGGCGATCACGGAGCAGCTTGGTGCGGCGCGAGGCAGTCACGGCGCGGCGCGCTGCCTCGGACGACCGCGGGAGAAGGGCGAGCGCTCGTCGAGCGGTCAAGTTGAAGGCCGAGCTGCACGGGAAAGCCTCGAGAACGGGCCTCTGCTCGCCCTTATTCCGCTTGGGCCCCACCATCCTCCTCCTCCTTCTTCTTTTTCTTTCTCTTCTTCTTATTATTCTTCATGTTCTCACTGGGCCCTTCTCGCGGGAACCTACGCTCGGGCTCGCGCTCGCACTCGCGCGCAATGCGGAACTGCGAGCCAAGGTCAAGTCGGGAGGCTTCCACTTTTTCTGACTCCCCGACCGAGTCCAAGTGCTGCTCGTCCAGCCTTTTCCTCCTTTCCTGCTCGTCACGGCACCCTGGCTCCCTTTTGTCTCCGCCAGATACAGTCCGAGGCAAAAGCGCGAGATAACCTCGATCATCCGAACGCGGATTAACTATTACTGGCATCGGATCTGGGCAACCTTTTTTTTTTAGATTTCATTAAGAGTCGCCTAAACTGATTGTATTTTATATTTGTGTCATGTGATGATTGTATTTATATTGTTTTTTATTATAGTGGACAGTTTTGTTGCGTGTAGGTACAGTGGGTAACGAAAGTATTCGAACGCCATTTAAAATGAAATAACTTCTTTAGAGCTGGATTAACAATAATAGTGATATATTTTAATGTTAGTAATAGTAACAGTAATAGTAATATGTGTATAATATTAGTAATAGTATCTGTAATAGCGATATATGTACAGTTACTTACAAAATTAAGCGTACACTTTTTAAAAGAAAATAACTTTTTTTAGAGCTGGAGTGAAGGACTCGAATTTTTTTATGATAGAGGGACAAGTCTACTAAACCATAATTAGAACGCTTTTTTTTTTAAATTTCCAAGCTATTGCTTGGAATGACAACACAAAATAAAAAGCTTACGTTTTTAACTTTTCTATCTGAGCCTATAATGAAAATTTAAAAAATGCGTTTTGTAGATCTTTGTAACTTATACGCGTACTGAAAATTTCATTACTGTTCAATATGTAATAACCTGAGCCTGAATCTTTGTTGTTTTTGCCAGATACATTTTGAGACAAAAGCACGAGAAAGTTTCGACTTTACGAACTTGGATTCTCTGTTCTTTGAACAATTTTCGCGTGTAGACGTATGAATGGCTCAAGAAGAAATCAGTGCAAGTTCTCGAAATTGAGATAAATGAGGATTTTGCGAATTAGCTGTGAGAAAATAACAGTGCCACTAATAATACAAAGCATGATTTTTATTATAAGATGGCACACGAATGAACTTTATCAAAAGAGAAACGAAAGAAAAATGTCAATGTTCTTTTTAGAAAAAACAATTCCCTCTGAACAATTTTGTTTAATCATTCTGTGTTAAAAATACAAGTGCTGTTATTTATTGTTCATTTAGAAATAAATCGACTATATTGATTTATTGATCACAAGATCCTATGATAAACATGCGTAGTGCATAAACTAATTTTCAATGAAAAATTGACTTACACTGATTGACTTCTGAGTCGTGCATATAATGATCTGAGTCTGGCTCCCGTTTATTTAAGTTAGATAGGGTAGTGGAGCCGGTTACTGTGGGGTGCCGTGCTATTGCTTTGTTTTCAAGGAACATCAACTTCACATTTATCGGATAAGAAATATTAAGTATGTTTTTATTCTTTTACTTTATTTCTTCTTGAATATAAAAATTCTTTTATTTTATTTATTTTTGAGTAGAAAAGTACTTTCATTCTGTTTATTTTCGAATACAAATATTCAATATGTCTTATTCGATAAATATAAAGTCTAAGATCAAACATATTCAATAAACATTCTTTTATTATGTTTATTTTTTAATAAAATAATTCAATATATCTTATTCGATAAATATAAAGTTAATTACGTCCGAAAACCAAAGGCTCAGGAATTAGTTACCCCACAGTAACCAGCACCACTACCCCATTCAAAGAAGATTTGATATTTAGAAAATTTATATTGATAAAAGAAGCTTTGAAATTTAGCTTCTAACTTCGTAAGAAACGTCAATTAAATTGCTAAAGCTGTTTTTAGTAGCGGAAACTCCGGATGTCCATA